GCACGCAAAAACATGATAAACTATCTACTTATGAAAAATATACCTCTCGCTTCAAATAACAATCAAGTGACCCTCAATGTTATTACCATGATTATTATTATTATTACCATTATTATTATTATTTACTACGTCATTATTCACCCTCTTTTATTCCTACTCTGTCTAAACTTATTTTTTTCGACCTATACAGCAGCTCATCTATGGTGGAAACTCGACTGAATCTAAACGTTCTCGAGTCACTGACGGGTTGAAAATTGTATGTTACCACCGAATATGAGTACTGAAGCAGTTTTTATGAAACCACGTGCACCACTCAAACTGGCTGCCTTCAACGTTCGCACACTTATGCAGGTCGGACAACAGATAGGGCTGGCTATTGTCCAATATGTCTTAGCAACGCACTCCTGAATGGCTGATATGTTAGCTCTCCATACATTTGGGCGAGGCTTAACCTGATCGTATATCATGTCACTAGCTCTAAACGTGAATGACGAAACAGCGTGATCGCTATTCACTAACTGTGGAAGAATACTTAGGTTGGCAATATCCTCAGTCTCATAAGTGATTACCAAGTTCAACAAAGAAGAACCCTGGTTTGCACCAAAACGTGTGGGTTCAGATACATGCTGTACTAATGCATGCTCACTTACCGTTATCGGAAACCTACTACCAAAGGAGTTTATAGATCCTAGCGTGGGATTCGCAAGCAAAGATGCGGATACTTATATTAATGTCTATGTATAAAAGTACGCCACCTCCTTTCTTACATCTATATTCATCACTTCTTAGGCAGCGATACCCAGATAATTCTCGAGTAATGTCGAAGTCATGGACTAAGCAAGTTTCCATCACATCCACAATGAGTGGCTTTAATTTTTCCACTAATGCTCCTAGTTCATAGAATTTATTTTTTAGACTACGAGCATTGGCACATAAAACTCCTAGGGAGAACAGTTTATCCACACAAGCCTTAATAGCATCCGCTTCCAAGATCTTACCATTCAGAAACCCACTTGTCGGAGATTTTTCTCACCATTTTATCGACGGGTTTCTAGTTCAGCTAGTGCCGACTTTTCTATTCTATCTTCAAGAGACATATCAGGTCTTACTCGAATATCGTCATTGTCGTGACTATGAGCGCTACTTAACAGATCACGTTGCTTCTCCGACCCTATGGTTACCTTAAGGAGTCTATATGGTCGAGGTTCAACACTGTCATCTGTCTTCTTACCTATTCTTATCAAGTTTTTGGCCTGAGCTCCTCTAGAGTTATCTGGTAAGATGCTACGGATAAATTCTCCGGAGTTTCCAAATCATGCGCATATCTACTTTTGGGGTTAAGATCTTGTGACTCAAGCAGCTTACTCGCAATAATATTCGAGGAGATTAACTTCTCAGCTATTCCAAGGTGGAGTTCTGTCGTACTATCAGACTTTGGTAGTGTATTTTGTGACTCAGAATGGGAGTTCACCAATGACTTTTCAAGTTAATTTATTTATTTGAACACATAAATATTGGTACAAGAGGGCACCAAATATATATGCGCCACACAAAACGATGAGGATTCGAAGAGAAAAAAGAAGAACAATAACGAACAGGTTAGTGTAATAGTAATAAAAAATAATGGGGGAAATGGGAAGGTACGATCAAAAGAAATTTTTCAGTTAAGGAAGAAACAACCATTTTTTATGAAGAAAGTTTAGGTTCCAACAGGATCGCCACTGACTTCTATTCTGAGCCTTATCTGATAACGTCTCCAGCCACTGTGTTGCACCATCTCTAGGACCCCAACCAGGGAGTCGTGAAGAACCAACAGGAGCCAGTCTTGTACATCTTTCTTTCATACCACGACACCATGTCATACACTGACCACCTCTCCACTTTTTCCAACCAGTCCCCAGTCGGCAAATAGTGCACGACGTGGAATTCTCTGGGACGACATTCGTAGAACATGTCCAAGCCACCGAAGTCGGTGTTTCAAGATGGTGACAACAATCGAATTATCGTCTTTGCGCTCGAACACACGATGCCGAACCTCTGCATTACTGACATAGTGTTGACACTGGATGTCAGCAATCCTTCGGAGACAGCGATGATCGAACACAGAGAGTCGTCTAACATCCTCAACTTGGAGAGGCCAGGTTTCACAAGCATAGAGCAAAACTGCTCTCACCGACGCGTTGTAGATCCGACCTTTTACAGCTAGACTGACATCACGAAGACGCCAAAGATGGCCCAGATTGGCATAAGCCGCTCTGGCTTTCACTATACGTGCATTGATCTCATCACTCACGCCACCGCCAGCACTTATGCAGCTACCTAGATACACGAACTTCTCAACTACTTCTATCTGCTCATCATCCAGGGTGAGTACAGGATTAGAATCCTGCCAGTCTTGTAGAAGTACTTTGCAGTTCGAAGGTGCAAAGCACATACCATACCTACGGACACTGGTTGACAACTGATTAAGTGCGGATTGCATGGCTTGGGCATTATCGCACAGTAAGACAATATCATCCGCATACTCAAGGTCGAGAAGTCTTTCTCCAGGCAATAGATCCACACCGCCATTACTTACATCCATCAGAGCTGTTTCCAAAATGTCATCGATGGCAAAGTTGAGGAGGAATGGTGAGACTGGGCAACCCTGTCTAACCCCACTGCTCGAATGGAACAATGGAGAGAGGTGGTTGTATGCCCTCACTCTGCCTGAGGTGTTTGTATATGGGGCCTTTAGGATGTTAACAAACTTCTCAGGCACACCCTTCTTCATTAGACAATCCCAGAGAACAGTCCTGTCCAACGAATCGAAGGCAGCCCTAATGTCAAGAAACACTACGATTGTTGGCCTTTGATAAGTATGAAGGTGTTCTAACATTTGGTGGAGGGTGAAGATGTGATCAATACATCCTCGACCGGAACGGAAATCAGCCTGCTCCTCGCGAGCCAATCTTTCTCGGGTTTTGACCAACCTACGAAGTATGAAGGAAGCCAACAGCTTGGACGCAATCGGAGGTAGACTTATCCCCCGATAGTTGTTACAGGAACGACGTGAACCCTTCCTAAAGATAGGGACAACTATCGACTCATTCCATGACGTTGGTACACTCTCTGGCTCCCAGACCTTTGTAAACAACGTCGTCAGTTCCTTAGCCAGAAAGTCACTACCATCTTTAAAAAGGACCGGAGGTAAGTCATCTGGGCCCGGTGATTTGTAGCGCTTCAAGAGTTCCTTGAGAACTTCCGCCTCATTTGGTGGATCAGTCGTCACCGGCCATGGAGGGCAGGACAGTCCGACCGATGTTGCCGGAGCAGCAGACCACTTGAACTGCGCTTCGAAGGATTCTGCCCATCGTCCAAGACGTCGATGGATGTTAGTGATCGACGCAGTAATTAGTCCAGTGTATAAGGTGGAGCGTAGAAACTTAGTTGATAACCACCGACCCGTTTGTCCAATGAGTGGATTTGTAAAACTAATGGAAAAGATTATTCAGATGGCTGTGATAAACTATGTGAAACGGAATAATCTTTTATCTAGGGAACAACATGGTTTTCGGGAAGGCCCGTCATGTTTGAAAAATCTGCTCATTGCAAGAGAAGATTGGGCTGCGGCAGAAGATCGAAATATTCATGGAGATGTTATTTTCTTAGATAGGATCTCCCATCCATGTCCTAAATTAAAGCTGGAAAGTTCTGGAATCCATTATAAGGCCATAGACTGGATAAGCGACTTTCTCAATGACAGGAGACAGAAGGTAAGGGTAAATGGAGCTCTCTTATTGTGGGAACCTGTAAAAAGTGGAGTTTCCAAAGGCACAATCCTCGGTCCCCTTCTCGCTTTAATTTATGTTAATGAATTACCAACTGTAGCAAAGCCATCCGTTCTACTCTTCGCCGATGACTAAGATCTGGAGACCCATACACAGTATGTCAGATAGAAGAGTATTACAAGATGATCTCAACTCATTGCTGGCACAGATGGACGGATAGTCACTAGAAGTGAATCCCAACAAGAGTACGGTGATGCAATTAAATAACTGTGATTATTCGTATCAATACACAATACGTAGATTCGTATTACCCAAAGTAATAAACTATAGATTTAGGAGCCATAATAAGCAGCGATCCCAAAACTACTAGTAACTGTAAGGCTGATGGTGCAAATGGCTATAGGGTATTAGGGGTTATTCGTAGGTCTTTTCAGTATGTGAATGAAGAAATGTTTAGATTATTATACCCAAGTGTCGTGAGACCGTACTTGGAATATGGGAATCAAGCAGTGAGTCCTTGTTTCAAGTATGAGGTGGATATGCTGGAACGAGTCTCTATGGCCTATCTTATTAAGACAGACTGAGATACCTCAACTTATTTCCGTTATCTTAAAATAGAATACAAGGTGACCTAATATTAACTTATCGTATACTGAACGAGGATCTTGGTATTAATGTCTCATCTTTTCCTCCCAATCAGGACTGAACGTTTGAAAAGACATTCGAAGTTCACAAACAGAGATCAAATCGTCCACCTCTAAAGTTTCGTTTCTCGCACCAAGTAGTGAATTACTGAGATTCGCTACCAGAACATGTAATATCAGCATCTTCTGTTGATACGTTCAAAACGAAATTAGACCTCCACAGGGTTAGAAACTTTAAAGCTTAATATAGGTTGATAGACCTATCCTTATTACTGAAGACTGAAAACAAATTCTACTTATCTGGACATTGTTTAATCAAATATGAGGCATACCCTATTCAATCAGATGAGTAGAATTAAACTAGCTAGTCTGATCTTCAAAATATATGATTCGGGATTCAGTAGTGCTCTCATGAAGGGATAACAACATTGAACTGACAATTGTTTCTTCACTTATTCGGTGATACGGGAACGAAATTTTAATTTCATAATAGTTTAAATCACTTACTGTGAATGCAAAGACTATTTACAAGAAACCCATAACTATGTATTTTCTAAATTAATTTATGGAAAAACCTGACACTTACCGCACGCTCTGTCTAGCTTGAAATAATTTTGATAGTATACTATCAAAATTATTTCAACAGATATATCTGTTAGTTTGACAGATTAACCTATTAATTCTGTAAATATTTGATCTGTGGACGACAGTAAGAGCCACAGAACAAAACTTAAAAGTTTAATCATAAGGTGGGTTTCACTACTTTGCAACCCAATACATCTACCAAAATGGTATCATAACACATGTCCCCGCCATCCATAGTAGCGACTAATCTGGTCAGCGCGCTAATGGCGGAATATAAATGTCTCGTCATCGGTGTAAAAACCGTAATAGGTGCCATATTTCATTCTGTACTCTGGTCTATTTAGCTTACAGTTTCCTCGAGACTTTTGGTGTTTTAACTGATCAAAAGAAGCTCGTTAATACTACATATATACTGCTACAGTTATCTAATGTCTTCAGTCTTCAGTCTTCAGTAATAAGGATAGTAGGTTGATGAACCTGTGTTAATCCTGACACATTGCTTTCCAGTGAAGGTCCAGCTTTTCCTTGAAAGTATTCACTGATGGGGCTGATACCACTTGTTCGGGTAAGGCGTTCCAATGATTGACTACTCGATGAGAAAAACGGGATCCCACTTTAAGTTTATTAGATCGTGGTTTATGAACCTTCTTGCTATGACCTCGGAGATTATTAGTGCTGGAGGGAGCAAAAAGATAAGACATATTAACACCCAAATCATAATTAAAGATACGAAATGCCAGTATAAGGTCACCTCGTGTCCTACGATACGACAAGGGGAAAAGATTTAGGCGTTTTAAGCGCTCATCGTAAGGGAGTCTAGAAAGACCCTTCACTAATTTCGTTCCCACACGCTGGACACGCTCAAGGGAGTTAGTATCCTTTACCAGACACGGGCTAGCTGCTTGGATACAGTACTCTAAATGTGGTCTAACATATATGGGATATAAAATTCGAAACGTTCCCTCGTCAAAAGATTTGAACGCTCGGCGAAGTGACCATAACGCACGAAAACCTTTGACAGCGGCTGCTTTGCAATGCGCAGTTGTTTTTAAATCATGACTTAATATTACTCCTAAGTCCTTATGCTCTTGAACGCATAGAAGAGGTTTACCCTCAATAGTGTAACGGTAACTATTACCGTGACTGACGTGCATTAGTACACTCTTCCTAGCATTGATTTCTAAGCCCCACTCTCGAGCCCATCTAACTAAATCGTCTAAGTCAGCTTGAAGATCCACATGATCAGCCGCACTTTTTATTGTTCTCCAGATTTTTACATCATCCGCAAACAATAATGTCGACGACCTAAGCAACAGTGGTAACTCATTAACGTAGAGAAGGAAGAGCAGAGGGCCTAAGATGGTGCCTTGGGGTACACCACTTTTGACCGGCTTCCAGTCGGATAGCGTTCCATTGACCCTAACTCTCTGTCTGCGGTCACATAAGAAATTTCCTATCCACTCATGTACAGTACCTATTATTCCGAAGCTCGTGAGCTTCTGTATAAGACCTACGTGTGAAACCTTGTCAAACGCTTTGCTAAAATCTATGAATATCACGTCGAAAGACAGACCGTGATCTAGGGCTGCTGTCCAATCCTCCCTCGCAATAAGCAAGTTAGTCGAGCATGAACGCTTGTTACGAAATCCGTGTTGCTCAGGAGCTGACAGATTGTGTAAATCTATGTGGCTTAGCAACCTAACCCGAATTATCTTTTCGAGTAACTTAATGACTATGCTAGTTAGACTGACAGGCCGGTAGTTAAATACTATCTGTCGCTGACCGTCCTTAAATATAGGACTAACTATAGCGTCCTTCCAATCTCTAGGGAGTTGAGCGAGTGAGAGGGACATGTTGGAGAGTGTCGCGAGTGGTTTTGAAATAATGTCCGCAAGAGATGACAGCAACCGTGGATGTAACCCATCAGGGCCCGGTATCTTAGCAGGTTTGAGGTTAGTTATCAACGGAAGGACAGTTTCCTCAGTCACCTGTACAGATTCAATGGTCGGTATGTCGGTGTGAGTGGGACAAGTATTTGTTACAATAAACGTAGAGAAGACTTCGCTAAAAGAATCTGAAAAAGTCTCAGCTTTTGCTCGATGCGATTCAGCTAGTAATTCTGAATTTTCGTGTAACAGCAACGGGGGAATACCATCACTACGTTTCATTTGCCGTTTAACATACGAAAACAGTCGTTTCGGACAAGTACGGCTATCATATACTAACTGTCGTTCGTAAGCGGTACGGGATTTCGCTATGGTTTTCTTACAGATATTACGGAATTTCTGGTACTCACGCTTAAATGGTGCATGACCTGTCAACAAGAATAAGTCCCAGAAATGTTTCCTACGCTTTGACAGCTTCCGGGTTTCCTTATTAATCCATGAAGGGCAATGTGATAGCTTACGTGCTGACCATGGGATAAACGGCGACGTTACGGACTCGAATGTAGCCTTAAACTTATTCCATTCATCTTCGATCAATCCATCCGCGTCGAACGACCAATCGGTCGAGATAGCACAGTTTCTGATTTCCGGAATATTAGCTCGCCAGATATTGGGACGGGGTGGAGCAGATACGAATTGTATACCATGTGTTCTAAACTTAAAGTGAATTACAACGTGATCATTGTTAACTAGTTGGGGAAGGTGCTGAATATCAAAGACATCCTCAGAGTGGTGGGTGAGGGCGAGGTCCAGCAGTGACGGAACATGTTGCAAATCAATATGTGTCGGTTTTGTGATACATTGTACAAGTGCACACTGAATAACACAACCAAAACAAAGAAGTAAACAATGATAAATTTAAGGTCAACAAGAACCAATCAACATCGAGGTGCACAGAACAAGCTGTGAAACACATATGGAGAAATTCGAACACTTCACTTCTATCTGAAGTTTGTGCTGATGTTGTCGTTCAGAAGAACGATGAAAGCTCCACGACCAACCCATCCAGCTCAGAGAACAAAACACCACCTGAATAACGGTAGATAAAAGGTCGCTATCGAAACCACTACCTCGAGCTGTAAGCTCTATCCAGTTGATATGCGGTGCGTTGAAGTCCCCAATGATGAGACAACATTCTGCCTTACTCCAAGAACAGATGTGTCTTAGGATAAAGTCGTCAGCAAGACAAGACGGACTTCGGTATATTCCCCCTATAGTCACTAACCCATTTCTAGATTTAATCTTACAACATGCAACCTCACATGTGCCACCGATATGAGCCTCCGATATGGTTGATTGTATACGAAAGTAATCCCTAACGTATAATATCATACTGCCCCCTTTGCGACTTGAAACTCTATCACTTCTGATACAGATATAACCAGCAATGAACGGAGAACAGTCTATATCAACGGTGAACCAAGTTTCTGTAACAACGATCATATCGGGACATAATTCCTCCACCATCAGACTTAGCTCGGACGTTTTATTTCTAAGACTACGAGCGTTCGTGTGGACTGGTGGTCTGAGAAGTCTCTGTGTTCGGTCATGTAACTGCCACACTATTAGTCCATTGCTTTTGCAATTAACGTTTTTACTTAGAGGTTCCTCATTAGACCAAAACTCCCCCTCCACAAATCAGCCAGTCTTTGAGTAAAAAGAAGCCTAATATTCACTGGGAACAACTTAGCTTTCGATCACCTAAAGGTGACTATACTGTAAAACAACCAGCTTAGCCAGAATAATTGGCAGAATTTATTACGGAGGTCGGTTAGTCAAAACTCTGGATTTTCATGGGCGATAACGTGAGCGTTGTGCAAAAAGTGTTACGTTAAATTGATGAACAGTAACTGAATAACATCACTAGACAATTCGGACAAAATTCGAAGTATTTTCAACTGCCGAAATAGACGGTTTTCTCTTGTAGTGCTCTGGCCAGATAATTCGTCAAACTGGACCGTTTTGTACATTAAGTGACAGATCACCGGACGTGGGACTTCACCGAATATCTTTCCGGTTAAGGATGACCAAACTGGAACTATAAACGGACTACATAGAACTCATGTGAACAACAGTCAGTAGTTATTTTACGCATCACTTCTCCATCCTTCACTAATCCAAATAAATCAATTGTATAGCAAGAATTTGTTTGTTCACTGGAAGTACTGAAAATCAGAATAGCCGAGTCACCAGTGTAGGTTGACCTGAACCTGTTAGTTAAAAGATTGTGTTAGTTTGACATAGTTTAAGAGGTCGTTCCATTTCTGTTCAATCCTTGTAGGCTGTACGCTCACACACCTAAAGACCTTATATATCTAGCAGCAGGCCATGTCTCTCGTTAGGGACCCAGATATGTACGTAAACAATAAGAAATTGGAAGGGAAATTCAGAAAATCGGTTTGCGATACTATCGTATCACCTAATAGCTTCCCAAAGCATTCAGCTCAAAAGCCATTCCTAGTTGGTGACGGTCTTGTTGAGTTTAGCCGGTTTGACTGATTAGATGACTTCTTGAAACCCACCTGAGATCTTACTCTCTGCACCTTTCCCTATAAATAAACGTGATCGGAACCTGTTATGAAACAGAATGAACTGTTCATTTGCTTACCAGCAAGTACCAATTCCAATGTGTGTTTTTTTAAGAGTCAGTTTTACAATCGAACTGAACTTTCAGCAAGTATTTTATGGACGCTTTGAGCTACGTCTGACTGACATAAAAGAAGTTTGAATCATCTAAGTCAGGAATTCTTTACTTTAAGTGAAGTTTAATGTAGTAACTGCATTTAGTTCACCGACTATATTCGTTTATATCTTCATCTTGAGCCTCTGGGTTCACCCTTGCTCCTAATGTTTGCTTTTGTTTCCTGACCAAGCCTAACTCACATTCCTAACGGTGTGATTCATTTGTCCCTATAATTTGTCATAAAGAATGATATTTTGATAACTTTGTAACGAAATTATTTTAGGCCTGTTATGATACGATTTTTCAGGCAGTTATCAAACTCTCTGAGAATTGATTTCGATGAAATCAAGAAAATTCGGATATGAAGTAATGGACACTTATCCTACCCTTGCTGAAATTATATCAGACCTAAGTTACCAGACCTGTAGAGATATCGAAAATATGCGAAGAAATCAAAATACTCGACTACTTCAACATAACAAACACTCTTACAGATTTAGATACAAATGCATGAATAAATTACCACTAGATGACTTAACATTCGCTTTCATCCCCGCCCAATAATTTTTCAGTTGATCACATTAATCTTACGGTAAAAGTCCTTATATATGATTTTTAGAACGCTGTTTTGAAAAT